GCAACGTCTAAAGGTTTATACGGCGTTTTTCCTTGGGACCGGAGTGTTTACCCGCGGGAATTGTTGCCAAATCTCCGGGAAAATCCTCACCGACTCCGCGATGGAGCTCTCCTCCGTTTCCCGTTCCGACAACCTCATTAGTCGTGCGAAGGGCTGCAGGGCGAGGGCGGGGGTGGGGGGGAGCATAAAAACGCGAGATGAGTGGAGCACAGAAATGAGGAGCGGGCGAGGGGGCGGGAGGGGAGGAGGGGGAGGAGCAAGTGACAATTGTCGCGACTTCATTGTATGCACTGCGTTACGTTTCTGCAATGCTGCACGATACTTTTTTCTCCGGTTTCCTCTCGTGACGAGTCCTCCCCGCGCGTCGTTGTCGAGCTCGCGTGAAAAACGCGGGAATCGAAGGTTATGAACTACGCAAACGCTCCGAAATTGACCTCAAAATGAAGTTAAAAAAATTGATAATCGCAAAGGGGACTTGGAGATCCAGAAAAAATCGAGGCGCCAGGGACGCCGTGGAAGGTCTTTGCGTGGGAGGGACAGAAATGAGGCCAATGATTGCCCTTTGAAACTTAGAAATCTTTCCAATTGGTATATGAGGCCTTATCTGTAACACTGGCGGATGTGAAAAATTACCTTTTCGAAGCATGCGTAAAAAACTGTTTTTTTCACTGTTTCTGATTAATAATTTAATCATCCATTCAAAAATTTGGAAGGAAAATTCATGATAATTATTAAATACAGGATCTCAAAGCCTCTGTTATGATTTAATGGTTGACGGCCCTTATCCCGTCATAATCTGCCGAGTGATCAATATTTACAAGCCGAGGTAATACATTTGGGGAAAGGGGAGTTTTAAGAAGGGTCATTATTCGAAACATAATTCCCGATTCATAGAGATTGAATTTGCATTCGTAGTGTCGATGAGTTTGTACAGGAGGAGGGGAGAGAACTTTCACGAATGCCCTGGTGGATTGGCAACACCCAGTGATTCAATTACTGCGTGTGCATCGGTGATTTTTCAACCGCGTCATGCTTGACACCCAATTTCAGCGCAAATTACGCTGACATTCGCTAATTTTTTGCTGCTGTTTCAAGAAAGTTCGCTGACTATTAGGATTTCCGGGGAACATCAATCTGGGAACATAAATAATTTATTCTGCTGGGGTGTTTAATTTTCCATCGGTTTCAGGCTTGGATAATCCACTCTATGCAACTCTTCCGCTGAAAACAACATCATCTATCCAGCTGTAAAACGGAAAAATACGCGAATTTTCAAGTTTTTTTTTTTTTCATGTATGTTCATGTAATGACTTCATGATAAGTGTATTTCGAATAAAAAGTTTCGGATACAAGCTTTTTTAACAGTTTCCAATCTTAAACCTCCTTTCTTGAACACAAAAAATTTTTACAACAGAAAACCAACTAATTTGCGTTAAATTTTATAAGTTGGGACACGTTTCGGGACCTTCAATCTTATCATCATCCATCCACCCCCCCTCCCGGAAATGTGTCCCATATCTTAAAATTTTACGCACGGGAGTTAGTTTTTTGCTCTAAAAATTTTTTGTACTCTAAAAAATTCAAGACTTGTGCAGCTCCCTAACGGTGTTCATAGTAATTAAACCTCCTTGTACTTGCATTTTATTTCAGCCGACCTTAAGCTGACTTCGTAATTTACTGTTCGAGAAGGAAGCTTTCGACCGATTCTGGGAGCAGTTCGGCAACCCGGCGAGGGCTAATAAGCACTCTGAAGTTGTGACCGGAGAATTAACATATGTTACGCGGAATGCTCGGATGTGCACGAAAGGAAATCTCAAGACTCCGGGATAATGTGCGAACTTAATAAGGAATTGGTACTCTTTTGTTCGCGGCGAGGCGAGGAAGGTGGTGACTGGTGAGATCCAAGAGCTGGACGGTGCCTTGTCGGGAAAACAAGTTCACTCAACCATCAACCATCAGCCTCCTCGCGAAGCTTCGACTCCACGACTCCGCAAAACTAGCGACTGACTCCTCTATCCTTTCTCGAAGATTGCCAGTTTTGAAAGCCGTCGTGGTCTGATTAAATGGTTCAGGTAATGGTCCACTAAAGTTTTATTTTGGATTTTCCTGATTTTTCCTCAAATTTTAATAAATTTTATGATTTTTTCCGCGAATAAATTGACACTTGTTTAATTCGACAAATCGACAGATTCACTAAGTTGAATCAAATGTTTGATAAATGCTTGAAAGCACCCAGAAGTTCCGGATCCATGGCCGATTTTCCTGACTCTTCCTGATGATATCAAATTTCCTGATATTTTGCGGGTTTTACTGATGGTAGACACCTTGGTTTGCAAGAGAGGGAAGATTTTTCAACTTCCATTAAACTCCAAAAGAGCTGTAAATAGTTTGGAAGAGTGTCATGCGGACGGAAAATTCGCTGTAATGACTGGAAACTTTTAAAAAAGAGTGAAATTCCTATTAGGCAAAGATAAGATTTAACTGTTATAGATTGCATCTACTAGATTGGCATGACTTTTATACTTGGGTTTGACTGGAGCGTAGCTGCGAGCATGTGGGCGCTGTGCGTGCTCACACATCTCATGTTGACCATCAAAACCACAATATGTAGTTCGACTTCAAGCGCCTTCAATTTCTGAGGACGCATTTTGTCATACATCTTTAACAAGATTGGTTCAACGGTCTGTAATATCACGCTTATTTCGATGCTATTATAGATTTGTGCGCGTGCCTATGTTCAGGAAAACTACTAAGATATTTGCATTATCCCTAAGTATTAAAATGAGCTCTAAACGATATAATTTTACGATAGTAAACGTATCTAAACTTCATCTTTAAATATTGATATGTTCTCGTTTGGAAAGAGAGAATGACAGGGCATAAGTCTGAGCTTTGATGAAATGAAATTCAGGACTAATGTGATGAATTATCGGGTCATAAAAACTTTTTCTTTGTTGATTAATCGTTAAAATCCTTCTCAAAGGAGCGTGAGTTCAATTATCTTCCTTCTAACAAAAATAAATTACGCGGCTTTTACACTTGAGGGTAGTATTTTCCGTTATCAGTTACGTACTTTTCATTGATCTATGATGTACTGTTAGAAAGTTTAGATATGAAAGCGGAAAGTACAGCATAAACAGCGCAATTGCAATAATTGCATCTAACAACACACTTTAAAAGTAATTAATGAAAATGCAGCTTCAGATAGGAAAATCTAGATGCTGTTAGGTGCAATGTTGTAAGCATTCCGAACGGTTGGACGAATTTGGAACATGAAAGAAAATAGGAAACAAAAACAAAAACACGAATAGCGGAGTTAAAGCTAATGCCATCAAATAGAACAGCTGAGGAGGCGCTACAAATTTGGGAAAGTTGCGACAAAGTATTTGACTTCATGCTAGTTATTAAATATGAGCCGGCTAGCGTCGCGGTACGTTGATAACCTCATAAAAGTTTACATAACGCGCAGAAAGAGGAGGAAAAACTTCCCCGGATACGCACTTAAAATTTGGATTACACAATCGTGAATACGAACAAACAATGAGAGAAGTCGGGAAAAGTTCGAAAGTTCCGTGCTGTAGGTTGTAAATATACATCAAAACTTTGCCGTGGGGCAGGGCGGGCAACAAAAAAGTCCCGCGAGTAAACAGGGAAACTTATAGAGTTCGATCCGAAAGTTTTCCGTTAATATCCGTGGCGTGGCGTGCTTCGCGATGTATCGATTGATCTCCCATTTAAACCAACGGAAAAGGATCGATAGACAGAGTGCTCGCAACGAGCCCCGTAATAATCGATTCTTCACCATGGCTTCAAATTGGGAAATATCGAGAATCGATCACTCATGCCTCGATATAAAATGCGGGCCCCGATCTACATTCCATCCTTACTACTTGAGCTTGGCGACCGGGAGGAAACAGCCTTGAACTGGAGCGATAAGGGCGAAAACTCGCCAATTCGCCGCCCGGCGGAGACCGAGCGCCCCTTCACATAAATTGCAGCTTTCAACGGCTTCAAAACTCGCGCAGTTGCCGATCCCAAGTCCCATTTGCAATCTCGTAAACTTTAGTTTCCCGAGCATAACTTTGATGAGTTGCTAGCGCGTGTAGCGGAATCGTAATTTGATTCCTGGATCTCATGCATCGGCAAAAACTGACAGGGTCAGTCAGGAGTAAAAACACGGATTTCGTCCCGTGTAAGTCGGGGTGGATGACGTCATTCGTCGGATTAATTACTTCCGCCTTCACGGGGATACATTTTCGCCGGAGAGTTTTAGTGGAACCGTTAGAAGTTAACATGAACAAGATCCATGGAACTTTAAGACTATGGAATGGGGAATTGTTAAGGTGCAACTGAATCAACCTTGAGGTTGCAATCGTTGCTATCGTATAATTTCTCAGCTATGGTAAATTATAGTTGCATACTTACTGCCATGCTGAGAAAGAACGCCGTATGAGCCTTTAGGTAGTGCCAGATTTCTTTTGATATAACAGCGATTTCATGGTGAACTTGTGAATATTTTCCTTCTTATGTTCAGGTAATTTTTTTTGAGTCTTCACCTAAAATTCCAGAAAACTTCGAGGAAAAAGTTCCGCGATTTTCCTCAAAAGTAAACGTTTTGTCGAAGAAATTTTGGCGACTCTCGAATATTCATACGGCGTTCTTCTTTGCCACGACAGTGTAGTTATCTGAAACTACTAGCGACAAATACGGCTCCTGTTTTGAACAGTAAATAGTTGGAAAATCAGGTATAAATCTTAGTGATTGGTAGAAGTATCAGAAAGTCCCTTATGTTACTCTTCCCACGAATTTTCTGGCTTTCCCTGACTTTTAAACCCGGTCGTCGCAAATTCCTCGATTTTCTAAACCGAAGACAGCCCTGGTTCTTTGAAAAGCTGTAAGTCTCCCACGAACCCAACTTTTTTCATAAAGAGTCACTTGTTTTTGTTTCACGACTCCCATAAGCTATGCCGGTGGCAAACTGTACAAATGAGTGAGCTTACCTTTATTTGAAGAAGAAGACTCGAGGCTGACTCGACACGGGGTGGGTGACTTGGGTGCCGGTGCGGGTGGCGCCGGGGGCGGCGGGGGCGGCGGGGATGCGGGGGCGACAACGGGGGTCGCTGGTGCCGGGGCCGGGGCCGAGGGCGGAACGAGGGGCAAGTCGTCCTCGCTATCGAAATCCGAGACGGGCTCCGAGTTGCGCTTGGACGACGGTAACAGGACTTCAGGTACGTTCGGTGACTTTGGTGACTTGGGCGGCGGCGACTTGGGGGAGTCCGGGGAGGACGACCCTGAGGAGGAGGGTGAGTTCTCCGACCCTGGGGACGAGGGCGGCGAGGAGGCCTCGGTCTCGTCCTCGGTGGTGGTGGCTTTGCCGCGCTTGCTCCGGGTCTTGAGGGACAGCGGGCTCCCGCTCTCCGGGCGGGAGCTGGCGAGCTTGGCGCGGTACTTCGGCGACTTGGTTTTCTTCCGCGAGCGCTTCTTCGTGAAGTTCTTGCGCGTCTTGAAGCTGATCACGCGCCCGCTCTTCTCCTTGTTCGCCCGGTCCCGCTCCGCCGACGTCACCGAGAGCACGCGCCGTCGGCTCGACGCTTTCGGCTGAAACAAAGACAACACATTTCACATTAGTAAAGCTTTTCACACGAAATAAATTTAAGTAGGATTTGAAGGAGCGCATATTGCATCTATGAAACTTGATTCGGAGAGAGTAAGGTAAAAAAAGAGAGTAAGTAAAAAATGTAATTTATGCATCTACTTGGCGTACCTTACTCTCTCCGAATCAAATAAATTTAAGTCTAACAGGAAAAAGATAAGGAATGAAATTGTTCTCCAGGAAAGTACCTTTCATTTAAAAAAAGTTGATCAAAATCGGATCAATAGCAACCGAGGGACAGCGCCTTGAGAAAAACCAAAATGGCGGACTGCAACGGCCGCCATCTTGCTCCAGTCGTGGGTCTCAGAGTGTTGCCCCTTCCAGAATTACTCCTGAGGGTACCACCAATGAGCCCTGAGAGCAGCATATTCCAATCAAAAAGTGCAGGGTTTTTGCAATTTTTGGGTCGTAGTCAACGGACTAAACGTGCCCCTGCCCCTATCAACAGCGAACTGCAGCACGTGCCCCTGCCCCTATCAACAGAGGGCCGCAGCACAAAATCTGACCTACATAAGAAAGTCACATGTTATGTCTTCATAGTCTTACGTAGAAAACGATTCACACGACGGAAAGTTCAAAAATCAACTCTTGGACGAGCATAGACGCATATGCAAAAAACATTAAGCTTGTCTACAATTTAAACAGTAAACACTTCTCACTCTGAGCTTCATTGCAGTTTTTAAAATCCATTTAAACTGCCCGAAATTATCCTCAATTGATCATTTCACACGTCACAATTTCGTTCTTCCCCGAATTTTTTCAACCCTCTCCAGCCCCGTGTATCTGAAAGTTGCTCATGTTCCCCGACTCAGCATCTTGGGTCTTTCCGTGGCTTTCCGGGACAAACACCGCACGATCAAATGACACGAGAAACCGAGGACAAACATCAAAGCGAGGAGCGAGGATCCGATCTGAAAGGTGAAAAAGGATATAAAGTTGAAGCACGGCGCGGTTCCGAGTCGGAAAGGGTCCCGGTCCCTTTCGCTCCCGGCCCGCTCAGCTTTTTCCGCCCCCCCCCCCCCNTCAGATTTCCATTTTATAACATTGCGTACTCGGTCTTTACTTTCTTTCTAGTTTTATGGCAGGATATCTGCCGGTCTGTCCCCTCACGACGACGACAACGACGACGGAGCGAAGCTGGCGTTATTAGCTCCCCGTTTTATACCTCCTCACATCGGAGCGATCTCGCATGCCATTCAAATCGCTCGCCGCGCGAGATCGGCACGGAATCAACAATCGGAAAGATAAAAAGGAGGAAAAACAGTGATAAAAAGTTATGCGCCATAAAATATGAACCCGTAAATCATTAGCCCACATAACTGTGAACTAGTTGCAGCCGTGAATAGCTGTAGCCGCTTCTCGTCTAGCTCCTCCGTTCGGGTCCCCCCCCCCCCCCCCCCCCNCCCCCCCGGAGTCATCGCGGCCCGCCCCCGCCCCCGCCCGCCAACCCCCCTCGCAATTACCCACCGTGGAGTTTGCACGCCAAGCCTTTTATATTCCGGTCCTCGGCGCTGTGCTGGAGAGCTTTTATTATTATTTTTATTATCTCAGCGGCGGTGTTGCCGGATGGCGTGGGGAATGGAGGGTTCCACGGCGGGAAAATGGCGGAATGCCCGGTCACGTGGCTGCCCGGCCGAGCGGATAATGCACCCGAAGCACCTGCTCTCCCCATTCGGCGCGGCTGCGTCTGAAGCCGCGCCTGAAATTTGAATAAATTCATCGGATTAAAGTTTCGACCCCCAAGTTTTAACTGTGTTTGGCTATGAAAGTCCCTTTAAATGTGCCGGGGAGCGCTTGCCGGTTATTTACTGCCGCGCTAAAAACGCCGTATGAGCCTTCAGACGTTGCCAAGTTTCCTCCGATTAAAACCGAATTTACTGGGAAAATTCTGAAAATTATTTTCCAAAATTTTTAGACAATTTTGTACGCGATTCAATCTAAAATATATGAAAATTTCAAGGGAAAATATGCATGAATGGTTGTCAAAAATACATGTTTTATCAAGGGAAATTTGGCAACTCTCGAATGTTCATGCGGCGTTTTTCCTTTTAGCACGGCAGTTTACTGCTCGCGAATATGTGCATTCGTTGCGTCCTCGATTCTTTTTTGCTCATTTATTCGCGCGTGGCTCGACCGCTTTGAGTTTCTGAAAGAAAATGACACTACGGATTACTCGTTTGACTCGCGTATAGCACGGAAGTTTGTCTAGCTTTTTAAACTTTTAATTCTAAGATTATTACCTATGCAGCCTGTCCATAAATTACTTCGGACAATTTTTTCTACTCATGTAACCACCACTCCCCACCGATCTCGTTTTTAGGTATTTGTTGAGGCTAGAATTTATTCGACCGTTGAAGACCCATTGAACCATTTTATCTCATCAGCATGGTAACCAGTGTCGGTCTGGCCCGAACCTCGAACATCCCTGAAATACTTATACGTTTTAGGGACACTTTTTCTCGGGTGGGGGCCGCCCTTCACTAACGTTAAGTCTTCCTTTATAGATTTTTTAAGTTTTGGGGGCCCACTGAGCCGTTGGTCAGAACGCCGATGCTCGAATTAGTGTTGACAAGAAAAGTGGTCAGTTCTATTTGAGGGGGGAAGAAAATTCTAGGATGAAACACGAGGGAAAAAATTTAAATACATCTTTAAAACAATACAATTATACTCAATGAGCACCATAAAGTATGTGTTCCTTACAAAATTTAATTGAGAGAGCAGGAAAAGGAGTATTGACTGATGATTGGACGCAAAGTTCCCTGCTTTAGGATAACGAACCCCCCCCCTCACTCCGACCTCCTTTAAACATCAAAGTGCTCGGTTTGAAGTTGCAAAGTTCATTTACTCAGCTCGGAAGGCAATAATTATAGATTCGAGAAACGAAACGCTCTCGCACATGGCTGCAGGCGTTAAAGGGACGGAATAAAATACAACAAAACAAAGGCCATATAAAAAGTTCATTTGAGAGGGACGAAAAGTAAAAAGAACTCACGATGCAAACTAAACTTTCAGCACGGTGGAAACGCAGCGTTGGCAAGTTTGATCACTTGTTGGAATTTCAAGAGGAAATTTTTTTCACTCAAACTAACGACGAATAGAAATGTAGGCGTGCAGGATCTATTGTAGGAGCAACAGTTCTTTTTTCTCCGCAGTGAATGCGGATATTGAGAAGGGATTTGCGTTTTAAGTACTTCTTCTGGTGTAAATTTTCGCGAGAAAATTGCCACTGGTTTTCTCTGAAATCAACTCCCAAGCTTATAAAAAGCTTTCAAAGTTCAAGCCGTAATGGAGAGGATATCCCCCGATACGTTGGTAGTCCATTCTATATCCAATCTAACTCTTTATGCACAGATAGGGAGCAAATACGTTAGCAGGGTTGCCGTAGTTCCAACTTTGGATTCCCTAGAAAAAGTGGCAACCCTGCTAATGTATTTTCTCCCTATCTGTGCAATTGTGCATGAAGAGTTTGGCTAGCTATCGAGGTAGACTCTGAACGTAGCGTGGGATATTTCCTCCATTACGGCCTCAACTTAGAGAGCTTTTTTTGAGCTTGGGAATAGCTTCGAAAGAAAACGGGTGACACCATCGTATTTCTCGCGAAATTTTACAGAAGAAAACGTGCTTTATAAGTGCAAATCCTTGGCCCGTGCAAGAACTCCATTCTGGATCCAGTGTTCCCAATTCCCGGAACTAGTCCCGAATTCCGGAACTTTTGAGATTTTCCTGAATGTTTCCCGGAACTTTTGAAATTCCCGAGATGCTCCGGATCGTTTGCTTTCCCGGAACTTTCTCGGAGCTTTTGAAAGAATCTAAAGAGAATCCCGGAACTTTTGACACTTACGGAGTGGGAAAAATTGGAACAAAAAGGTTCCGGGATAACTTTTTGGATTTTCCTGAATTTTTCCCGGAATTTCTGAAATTCCCGCAACGCTCCGGATATTTTGCTTTCCCGGAACTTTTGACATTTATGGAGTGGGAGAAATTGGAACAAAAAAGTTCCGGGATAACTTTTTGGATTTTCCTGAATTTTTCCCGGAACTTTTAAAATTCCCAAAATGCTCCAGATGTTTTGCGCCGGAACTTTCTCGGAATTTTTGAAAAAATTTAAAGAGAATCCCGGAACTTTTGCCGCTTATGGGGAGGCAGAAATTGGAATATAAAAGTTCCGAGAACATGAAATTCCTGGAATTTTCCGGATCTTTTGCTTTTCCGGAACTTTCTTGGAACTTTTGAAAAAATCTAAAAAGAGTCCCGGAACTTTTGGCGCTTATGGAGTGGTTAGAATTAAAAGTTCCGAATCCTGGAACTTTGGACGGACATGGAATGAGAGCACTGTCTGGATCGGTCCACGGATAAAAAGGAGATCCTTTGACGAAAGGCCCGGTTGGCAACGAGGCGAGTGCGTGACAAAGACGAGCGGGGAGTCAAAGGCAGAGGCCGTGGGCCGCGGATAGAGCGGGCGGTCGAAAGGGGGGGCGGGGGACGGGGAGGGGCGGGGGACGGGGAGGGGCGGGGGTTTAATTGAACACAAAGAGGAAAAGAGAGGAAAGAAGGAAAGGAGCTTGAATGCATTTATTCATTAAACCGCTAACGAGCGTTTCAGACGTTCCGGGGTCCGGGGTCCCTTTTCCCTCATTAAATATTGATCAAAATCGATTTGACGTCCGTGACTCGCAACTCCCGACCGACGCGACGGGTCGCGGGTGTTCAACGCTCCAGTCGTCGAGTCGCCCATCGTGAATGGTTCACGAGGACGCGACGCACGCCGCCGACCATGTTGCTCGTTTTCGCTAAAAATGTTCATCATTAGACAATTTTTTGCAAAACTTGCAAAGAAAATAAAATGCTCGCATTTTTCTGCTATGATATGGGAAGATAAGAGGGAACTTCATCATAACTGTGAGCTGCCAAAATCTCAAAATTTTCACTAATTGATAGACTTGTG